CCCCACGTAAACCCCATTCCCGGCTTCCGCTGTGCAGGCTGCCTGTGACTGGTAGAGGCGGTCAACCCGGCCTGAACGCACGGCGAGGAGAGACCGTAACATTCTCCGCAAAACTGATTCTGGCTTCTCAGAATCGTTTTTGAAAAACGAAACTAGTTTCTAGTTGCCAGGTTTGTTTTTGAAAAACGACACTAGGTTCTGGTTGCCAGGTTCGTTTTTGAAAAACGAAACTAGAAACCAGACATTAACTTCAGCGCTCTTTGGTTACGCCCCTGACGTAAATAATTCGCCTACTTCCAGAGAAAATGATTACAGCAGCAACTCTCCTAGTCACGTGCGACCTACCTGTGGTGATTTACATAACAACTAGTCAGTGGGCACGGTGTGAGCCGTTTTCAGAATTATAGTCACTTGACAGCTGGACTGTGTGAGACGAAGACATAGGACCGAACTTTCAACTGCGTTGAAGCAAATATGTCTTGTAAGTAACATTTCTTTTTCAGTCTTGTAATGAAGAGGTGTAATAATGAAAAAAGGTTACGCGTAACGTGAAATGGCACTCTGTCGGTAATGACCATGGTGTTATTTGCATCCAGAATGTTTCTCACAATGGCCCCTATTCAACTTTTCTAGTACCGTGCAGTACACGTTTCTGGGTATTCAATTTACCATGTTATGTCCTCTAAAATACCAGTTGATAATGTACATGTAGCTGGGTTGTCCTTCACATTTTGAAGTTGTGTGGTGACCGTCTTTTAAAATATTAAAAAAAACTCTATGGACGCATGGAGATTTTGTTGTCCAGTCATATTTTGTTGTCCATTTTCTGTCACCGTTATTTTGTAGACATTTCTTCAATATTTGTTCAATTCACTAGTATTAAACTTTGAGTGTCTGTACTAATAGCTGATATATATTAGATTGCTTTTAAAATCTTTCTCTGTTTTTTAATTTGAAGCTAAAACACACGAATGAAGGTAGAGGTTTTAACTTTTAGGTATTTTTCCCTGGCCATTCGTTTCAAAGTGCTAGAGACAAATATCACATTTATTTACATTTGTTCAGAAATATACATGTTTATAGTTCTTCTGTGCTCTTTTTATTCTAATTTTATACATTTTAATTGAAATTTCTTTATAAATTTGATGCTCAGCCAATGCTAATTCTTTCAATATCAACAATACTTTTTCATTGGAAGTTTATTTAGTCGAAATGAATACATGTATCACCTTAGAATAATCGATTGCGTTATTAACGTAGTATATTCATATTTCAGAACTACAATCTAATTCGCTGACTGCAGAAGGCACGTGACTGATGGAACCACGCCTAGCCTTCAGTCCGTATTAAGGAACTGGACACACTCATGCAAACGAGCGCACACGTACATACAGTTATAACATACAGTTGAACAGTTTTATGAACTGGTGAACTGGCGCGTGATCTTGTAGTGATTTTAAAAACGTTTTAGGATTACATATTGATTCTCTTAGTTGAAAATGAAATTTACTGATATAATTCATAAGCTATGTACCTTGGGTATCAATCATATTTATTTTTAATTGTTCCAACGAGTTCGGATGAATCTTATTCCATTAAAACACTTTCGGCTACTCAAACTATCTACACGATGAATTAAACGTTGGGGATAAAGGTGTGTTTTTTTAACCGTATAGTTGGTGTAATCTCTGGTAAGATCATTCTTTAAAGTCGATTAGCTATCACATGATATTTTTTTCTTAATTGACATTGTAGAATTGCATTTATTAATTTTAAATGTTTATAACGCTGTAATCGTAAACTAACGAGTGACGAACTATTTCACCCGAATAAATTTACATTTCTTGTTGGAGTTTTCAATTTCTAAACAAACCAGAGACGATTATAAAAGTGGTGTTTACATACACAAGCTTTTTAAAATATGTGTAATTTAGTTCAAATTGTATTCTTTGAACTCTTTCAAAACACACGTAAAAACTTTGCAAATTGTCAAATGATATCTTTGCCCAAATTTTGTCCACGTATTGAGTTCACTGTTTGTGTGATGCAGTGCCTTATGTCGCGCATTAAGATTTCACGTGAATGTTTTAACTTCCGATTGTTATTTTAAAGAAAGATATGTATTTAATTTCAGTTACGCCCTGGTCTATCTTATTAACTAAATGCTAAAACATGACAGCTAATTTAAACAAGAAATTAAGATATGCTGTTTATTTTTTCCAATTTATCATACAGCATACTTTGATCAATCCCATTCTTTTTATAACAAAACCCTCCAATTTTTATTATTTGCCTTTATCCTTGTACGCATACTCTATGGATATTCTAACATCACTTGTGAAGCAACGTTTGAATCTGAAACCAAAATCGGTAAGAAAGACCAACATTTTGAAACAGTACACCAGTATTCCAAAATTCAGTATCGTTAATTTACTTAATTTTCATGAATTTTCGCCAAGCTTGCTTGTACTGGTATGTATTGCGTTTGAATGGTCCTTTTCATGTGCAAAAAACAATTTTTCTGATGTATGTGTGTATGTTGCTATCAAAATAGTTGCGTTTCTACTGAATAAAATAAAATATGCATTAAACTGTTTTTACATGCAATTTATTAAAACTTAGGTTTAGGTTAATTATCATGCATACTGCACGTACAAAGCTGTTTGCAATAGATACTTTTAAAATATATTTGATTCTGCAATCCTTTAATTCAAATCTTAATAAATTGTGTTATAGTAAAGCACGTGGTGTTTTTTGTTTTTGTCCAACCCATGTCGATGCGTGACAAGTGGGTCAAGTCTGTTTTATTTCAAAGGGTTACAAGAGGGGCGGGTCCATTTTACTTAAGGGGTGACTAGTGAGGCAAGTCCATATTATTTGAGGGGTGACAGGTAGGGAGAGTCCATTTCATTCAAGGGGTGACAGGTGGGGAGAGCCCATTTCATTTGAGGGTTGACAGGTGGGAAGAGTCCATTTCATTCGAGAGGTGACAGGTGGGGAGAGTCCATTTCATTAGAGGGATGACAGGTGGGGAGAGTCCATTTCATTAGAGTGGTGACAGGTGGGAAGAGTCCATTTCATTCAAGGGGTGATAGGTGAGGAGAGTCCATTTCATTCGAGGGGTGACAGGTGGGGAGAGTCCATTTCATTTGAGGGTTGACAGGTGGGAAGAGTCCATTTCAGTCGAGGGGTGACAGGTGGGGAGAGTCCATTTCATTCGAGGGGTGACAGGTGGGGCGAGCCCATTTTAATTGGAGGGTGACAGGTGGGAAGAGTCCATTATATTTTAGGTGTGGCAGGTGTGGCAATTACATTCTACCCGAGGGGTTGCAGGTGGGGTGAGCCCATTCTATTTTGAGGGTGAAAAGTACAGGTTAAAACAATAAAAAGAATTGTGCAACAATTAGTTGGAAGTTAAAACTAAACCATTTCATTCCATTTTCCAAGAATTTCTTTTTAGATATATTTTATCTCTATTATTTAGCTCGAAGGTATTAAGGTTTTTTTAGGGAAGTGATTTCAGAACACGGGGGGGATCTCCTGGTGCTTTTGAGTAATTAAACATCAACTTTAATGGCAAAACAAACCATTTAGCAAGCATGCAAAACAAAGCAAAACAAAGGATCTATCCCAATAAGAAAAATTGAGAAACTTGGGCAGCAAGGTAACACCAAATTTTCTCAAAGAGAATATGGCAAATTCAAAATAAACAAGTATGCCAGCAAAATTTGCAAGGCAGGGGATGTCAACATTTTATTAACATAATTGAATAGTACACGAAGCTCTACTATGACAAGATTTGAAATCATATAATTAATTACTTGGATTACTTAGTATATTTTTATGACCCGGTGATGGATAAAGGAAAATTAAAAATTATCTTTACATGATATTTTTCATTAAACGAAACACGTTCATGAGAAGAGGGATTTGAACATTTGTGATCAATACAATACCATCCCAAACTATTTAGCAAATTTCAGTGAGAGTCGCAATCTTTAAACTATCTGTATTTGGTGCTTAATTTCATTATAGTATAAAACTATTTTAGAAATAGAAACATATTTATCAAAGTACGATTGCAAGTACAAATTATTCTTGCAGGTATTTCTAAAATATTTTGAATACATTTTTTCTGGGTTTTAAAAGAATATTGCCCAAATTAGATTTACTTGGGCACATAACAATTTTCGGCACATTAACAAAATCTTAAACTATTTCAAGTTAAATAAGGTAACACCGACATAAATAGCAAGAGCAATAGTGATATATTAATTAAACTTTACAGATAATTTTGAATGCGTTCAACAAGTTGTTACATGGCTAGCGGATCAATCATTTCTCTTATTATCATTACCATTTTAATACTTCATATCAAAATAAACAACCACAGAGAAATGCGTTTATTCAGTTTTAAGATAATAATGTGCATATAAGAGCGTCGTGTTCCAGAATCCAAACAAAAGACTGGGTTACTTGCAGGTGCCATTTATGGAGTAAGTCGGAAAATGTGGTTGTAGCGGACCACGAGTAAATGAAGCAACACCATTGGATAATACTGCCGTTTATTCACGCAGTGTGAACAGAACTGAACAGAATCTGAACAGAAACTGGACAAAAACTGAACAGAAACTGGACAAAAACTGGTGAAAACTATAAAAAGAAAAGAAAAAGAAAAAATAATAATAACAAAACAGTGAAATAATGAGATAAATAAACTAAATATACTAAACTTAATTCATGAGATCTTAACAACAAATAATTGATCTTTACATGCGTGTAAGTTTTCTCTAATTATTTATTATTTAATTTTAAAAAACACTCACACTAAAACAATATCCAGACTCGCTTTCTCCGCTGCTAAAATGGCTGCTCAGATACGGCCATGATAATCTAGTTGAGCTGGTACTGTAATTTTATTTGATAACATAAATATACATGTGCGTGTTGCTCATGAAAATGCCACACCCATACTAACATAAACTTTAATAAACACGATGCTCATAACTTATGTTACTGATTAAACTTAAGTAAACTTATGTAAACTTTTGTAAACTACACAAAATATCTCTATATAAGTGAATTACACTTTATTTCACCCTCCTTGCTCCTCCCTGCCTCCTCCCACCCCACCCTACCCTACCCTCCTTGCTCCTCCCTGCCCCCTCCCACCTCACCCTCCTTGCTCCTCCCTGCCNATGAAACACATAAATTTTACACAATCTGCACGTAATATCGTAACATACCTCCACTCTGCCAGTTAGTATATAAATGACCGCGCAGAGTACATGCAACATCGGCTTTTATACAGTTGATCACATAACTAGATGAATAGATGTTACTTAATATTGAGCAGTGTTTTAGTTTCTTCTCTAACGCAATATAAATAAACATAAGAACAGCGTGGAAAATATAAAATAAAAATGATAACGTATATAATTTCTGCCGTGTCGGCAACAGTGGTGCATCTGAAATACGAAAAAAATTTAGTATTGATACTTGCGTATGATATATATATATATATATATATATATATATATATATATATATATATATATATAAGGTTTATACTTATAATTGAAATCCTTTACATCTTGTTGACATTTCTGAAAGTTTCAGAAAAAGGTTTGGCTCGCGCACCTTAGATAATGGTATGAAATTAATGCATGTGTCTAATTTACGATGGTCGTCAAGCTATTGCACTAAAAAATGAATTTAATAATACCGGGTATACATATATAACATGTCTTGATATTGTTAGCATTGTAATCTATGGACAACATGAGGCACGTTGCATGCAGACGGTTCAACCTCCACGTACAATAATATTCTTTTTAGTTAGCATTAAACTTAGTGCATTGAGAAACCGTGTGTGTGCGCGTGTATGTATGCGCGCGCGCTAGTGTGTTGAAATATCTAATGAGTACTTACCTGAAAAAATCCCGACTGCTTGTCCATCTAGATCTACAGCAGAAAACAGCTTACGTTTCACGCCATTCATCTAAAAGAAACATTAAAAAGTATTAAATAACTGCAAACTACATACGTCTTTACAAGTAAATGGGGAACACATTTTTGTATCAAAACTCAGTATTAAAGATCACTATAATCTTTATTCGTCATATTCATTGCGATCATGCTACCCACATTAATTCTCATTCAGTTGTCTAGGGTCAAATTTTTTTTTCAAAACGATAGTAAGTTCACGGTGCTAAAAGATTTCAAATAAATTTTAATGTAACTCAACGTTCAGCTGTGTGTATTGATTTTTCTGCATGCATAGCAAAGACGTGTTATAAACATTTGACTAAACTAACGCGCTTCTAGTGTTTTATTACAAAGATAATTGTAGGGGCCTACATATAATGATACTTGATATATTTTCTTCTACGCCTAATAAAAGCTTGAACTTACAACTGTACCTTGCATATCCTGCGTCTTCACTTTACGGTGTCCAACTGTCAAGTGACCAGTCTAGAAAATAACTCATGCTGCGATGAGTGACTTATTGTTATGTAAATATCAATAGGTAGGGTTCATTATAGGTGAGGGGTCGTGGCTCAAACCATTCTCACGAGAAAGAGCAAATGTACATAATTTAATAGCTTCTTAGAAAAAATAACTGTACTCCCTTAGATGTTTGATGTATTCAGACGTTCTTACACTATAGATATTACACATTAGATATTGAACCCATTCTTCTATAACTGTAGTCTAACACTTGATTAAACCTACACGTTTGCTTTGCAAACGTTTCAAGTGTCTGGGGTAGTAAGTAAAAAAAGTAAAAGCCGACCATCGCCCCCTTGGTGTGGGGTTCGGGGCCTGCTCAAGGGCCCCGAAAAATTTTAGGTATTTTAGAGAGAAAAGAGCGCCCTTTGGTACGGGATATAGCTGTGAGCTAGCTAGTCAAAATTCTAATTTCAAGAGGGGAATATTGGTGTGATATATTTTTACCCCCCTGACCCCCACCCCCCTCCGTTTAAACCCGCCACTGATGAAGTACAGAATTACAACAGGCTTTCAATTTGCATTCTATGTGTAAGAAAATGACAATGAAGCCATATTGGTTTCTTGCTCAAAACTCTAATTAAAGCGGTACTTAAAAACCTTTGACCTAAGAAGACGTCTTGGTCTGAAGTGACATACGGCGGCCATCTTGTGGCCTGATGTGACATGTCTCTAGGCTCTAGTCAGTGTTAAATTTTAATGGCAGTGGCGTTAGGCCGTTTAGTTAGGTTCAGTCGCAAGTTTTAATTTGTGCATTTCGGAAATGATAAATCCCGAATAGTCTTTCATACGTATGTTGTTAGTGCATATTGACCTCATCTTAATAACGTGTATTAAATTGATCTCAAAGACAGAAAGAAGTCGACAAGCAACAACTGACAAACTGGACGCCATCCTGTCGTGAAGCGCCATGGAAGGCTTAATGACGCTGGATCTTGTTCTTCCCAGACGACTCACCAAACTCTGCGTCGCTACTAAGCAGGAGCACCAGTTTCGGTGGCACAGTAAGAAAAGTAAGTCGGTATCGACATCTTAAACAGAGATCTAGAACTTGGAGAACATGTTCATATCACTCGCGGTCATAAATTTGATAGATTAAAGAACGTTGTTGCAGAGGAATCTGCCGAATATGTACATGTAATATAGATATGAATGCTGTTCATAATACCACAATGAAGTAATGTTATATAGTATATTAATATGTAATATTTAGTCTAATAAAAACTGTCAGTGCAAATAAAACATTAAGCACAGTCCTCTTGATGTATTTCTATATACACTTTCTATAACCAAAGCTTTGGCACTACTTGAGGCAGTGTTTTCATTTTAACCTAGCTCTCTGATTTTACACAGGCACGCATGCACATACACACGCACACGGACACACACACACACACACACACACTCTTGCTCCCTTTGTATAATTGCACCCCTTCAATTTACCAGCAAAATTTTCTAAAGGTGCACCCATTTCTGCTCATTTATAATGTTGATTTTAAATCCAGTAACATTCATATTCTAGGCAGTGGTAACTTACACATAGTGGGTCGAGACAAAGATACAGTACGTCTAGAGTTCACAGGTAAGTTGTTCATGAACAGGTACAGTACATCTCGAGTTCACAGGTAAGTTCTTCATGAACAGGTACAGTATCTCTAGAGTTCACAGGTAAGTTGTTTATGAACAGGTACAGTACACAGCGCAATACCCTTCAGAAAATGACACTATCTGCTTGCAAGTAAACTCAGGAAAAGTTTAATGTCAATAATATCAGGTGATATAAAAGAGGATTAGGCCATAAATATCATTGATCCAACTTTATTAATTGGTACGATTTGTTTACTAGTACTGTTCCCCCCCCTCCCCCCCATATTGTCAAGAAGAGCCATTCCTTATATCTTCTTGAGTGGGGAATATGGTAGACAGCCTGACTGATTTGTCAACTTGGATCAACAGTATTATTTACCTAGTATTAAAGTTCTCTATTTATATCATCCTGTTATTTCTTGTGAATGACGTTACCTGTGTTTACTTTTGTCTAGAGTCATATTGCGCTGTATTGCAGTGTACTGTGCATTTAAGGTAGGCCCCATCTTTTCATTGATGATAGGCCCACCTGTTCTTCCCCTGACTGATATAGGTAAGCTGAAAGTTCTCTGTACATATAAGGTTCTTAGTTTCAGTAAAATAATTCCTAGTTAGAAGTGATATATCTTAGAAATATTGATACAGTGTATGTCATTTACTTATCACATTATGATTTGTTTGCTTTGTAGAAAGTTGTAAGAGTGAAAATTTTGGTAGAGAATACTGTCAATATTGTTGTTCACAATAGTTGTTATAATTGCCATAATAATATGTTGACCAGTCATTTTCTGTAATGTTCCATGGCAGATATATTTTCATACTATTTGAACTTTTTTTTTTCAGGTTACAACTTCCTTGAGGTGAAAGAAAACATCATTAGTTGTGTTATAGACAGCATAACAAAGAAAAGAAATGAAACAGATCAAGAACATCAGGAAAAAGTGAAGCAAAAAAAGAACAATCAACCAGCCAGTGTTGAAGTGAATATTAGGACAGAGACAACAGAAGGTGCAGTACAGGAGAACAGGGTGGATACTAAGACAAGTGTCACAGTCACAACCAGTGGGATACCTAGTGTAGACACAGTAACCCCTACATGGAGGAGATCTTCTAGACGTGTCAAACCAAACGTCAAAGAAGAATTCCTGTATGATAGTTTGAAAGACCTTAAAGCAAACAAGAAACTGGTCATATCAGATGAGCCTGACACAACAGAGAGCCTGGAGCTTGAAGATGAAGCTGTGAGCAAAGATTTCCCAGTTGATATCTCATCAAAGAAAGTTCCTTGTAAAGTGTGCAAGGTCTCTGTGAGTAACTTACGCATGCACATGTTGAGCAGACATATCACTCTGTGTCCACACTGTAAGAGAGAAATCAAAAAGAAAGACTTCAAGGATCATCTAAAGACCAGCCACCCAGGCCTGGTGCTTACTGAGCTGTGTCCAGTGTGTATGAAACCCTTTAAGAGCCTCAAGAAACACATCACTGCCAAACATAGTGGAAGACTTCATCACGATCACGTTTGCAAACAGTGTGGCTATGCTACGTATGACAGACATGCACTGAGAAACCATATCCTGCACGTCCACCACAACGTGCGCATGTTTAGCTGCAGCTCTTGCAGCCAGACATTTAAAACAAAGCAGGTCCTGAAGCAGCACACACGGATTGTGCATGAAGGAGTCAGAGATTTCCAGTGTCATGTTTGTATGAAAAAATTCACCAAGAAATACCATCTCGATGTCCATACCAGAACACACATGGGTAAGGTTGACTTGGAGACACCCCCCACCCTCTGCTTGAAAATTCACCCCAAGACAAAGCTGCCTGCCTCCTCCCACCCCACCCTCCTTGCTCCTCCCTGCCTCCTCCCACC